AGATTTTTCTAAAACTAATAATTTAAAAAGATAAAATAAGAGGTAAAAAAGTTTAAAAAGAGGAATTTACTAATAGGTAAAAAATATAAAAAAAGAGGTACAAAGAGATACTAAGAGTTATTTTTTCAAAGCCATTTTACAAAAATATTAAGAGGTACTAAGTGACAGAAGAGGAAAAATGTAAAAAAAAATAATATAAAGAAATGTAAAAAAAAAATAAATACAAGTTCGAAATGGTGTTTGCGTATTATATATTAATTTTCTTTAAAGTTCGATATATTGTATTTGTTCATCAACAGCATTCCCCGCGAATGGCTGGCTACTTGTGTCACGAAAAGAGTGAATAATCCATCACGGCTTAGAAGAGAATGCAAATTTAGACACCGTTTAGCGTTAAAACAACCGATGCCATCGCTTCCTCTTCGCCCGAAATGCGCGGGAAAAATAAGGAAAAATAAAAATCACAACGAAGACCAAATAATACACCAACGATTCTCGCTGATTTTTTTTTTTTTTGTTTTTTTTTTTTTTTTTTTTTTACATTTCAGGTGCAAACGATGATGCAGAAAGGAAATTAACCTGCCTTCCTAAGTTGTCATCACTATAACTGCGTTTTTTTTTATTTTTTATTTTTTTATTTTCCTGTTTTTATTACACTTGCTAATGCGCACCTGATTTCTCTCGCTCTCTCAATCGCGCGCGCATGCGTTCTCTATTTCTGTACCATGCACATACATACATGCACATGCGCACGCTGACAAGTACTCTTTATCACCGACACAGTAACCAACGCGTGTTTTCTCAATCACGCATGGAAAAGAGAAACAGACAGAAAAAACAAGTTATATTTAAGACAATGATTACAGGAGACACTTGGATACAAATTTTTTTTTCATCCTCTCTAAAACAGACTGACACTATTTCTTTCACTCAGGAAAAAAAATTAAAGAGTATGCTAGCCATAAATCAATTCACCCATATATATATATATATATATATATATATATATATATATATATATATATATATATATATATATATATAAATATATAAATATATATATTATAATTATTTACTATTTTTAAAATATGGTCCCATCGCTAAATAAAAACAAAACAGAAACTGAAATTTTAAATTCAATAATATTAAAAATAATATTCAATAATAAAACTTAATTTAATATTATGCGCTACGATTTATGTATCGAGCACTGTTTTTTTGGTTTGTTCTTGTTTTTTTAATCAAATAATTACTAAGAACACTGTTCTTAATGTTCTTTTGTATTATTTTAATATATATATATATATATATATATATGTATATAATACTATATATATATATAATACTATATATTATAATACTATATAAATATATAATACTATATATATGATACTATATATATATAATACTATATATATATATAATACTATATATATATGTTAAGAAATGGACAAGGTCCGACAATTTATTTATTAAAGACATTTTTTATGTTTAACGTTGTTATTTTATAGATACAAGTATTTAAGCAAATGCTCTGTTTATGATAAACAGTATTAAATAACATTTACCGGCCTGAATGTCCGAGAAATTTTCATAGAAAATATTCGTTCTTTGACAGGATTCGAACCTGCATCCTATACGGAACCGTCATATACGCTGACGTGCCTTACCTCTAGGCTACAAAGAACCAATCGGTAGACAAGGTCGAATTTACTGCTTATAAACTCCAATCTTCAATGAATCTCGTACATTCATAACTGCTCTGGCGTATCGAATGTAAACAAATGACGTCATATGTTAAGAAATGGACAAGGTCCGACAATTTATTTATTAAAGACATTTTTTATAAAATAACAACGTTAAACATAAAAAAATGTCTTCAATAAATAAATTGTTATGAATGTCCGATATTCATGGAAGATTGGAGTTTAAAATAAGCGTTAAATTCATGACCTTGTCATCGAACGAAAAATTCTTTGATAATAAAAGATTATATAAGGCATTTATATATATGATTATTTAAGTACCAATGCAGGTTGAATATAAATAAAACAAAAAATATATTCTATGAATATGATATTGATAAAAGTTAATGTTATGAAATACTGTTTATCAATAAACATATAAATAAAAAACGTCTGTTAATAAGCAAACATATAGATATATATATATATATATATATATAATATATATTTAAGTTTCTTTATGAATACCCAAAAATGAAGCTTATTTAAAAAAAATATGTAAAAATTACACTAAACGAAAAAAGTAAAATTTAACAATATATTTAATCATTCCATATTTAATTAAAAGTATTATCACTATCAATTTTCTAAAACATTTTTAAAATTTGTTGGAAGTTTTAATGAATAAAATCAAAAAAATTTTTTGAAATAAAATTTTATTGTGTGGTCTTTCTTTAATTAATTATATATATATATATATATATATATATATAATATAAATATATATATATATATAATATATATATATATATATATATATATATATATATATATATATATATATATATATATATATATATATATAATATATATATATATATATATATATATATATATATATATATTACTATATATTAGCGTCTTTGTCGAACGTAATTTCAATGAAGAAATGAATTGAATAAACATATATATTTTTTCTTTTCTCAATTATTTTGTAGTTTTAAACTTAATAGTGATTAAATTTGGATTTTAAAATTGCCAGTTTTTTAATTTTAATATTAAATTTTATCATATAATTTTATAATTATTGGTTAGTAAAAATTATTTTTAATATTACACGTATTTAAAGATCTGAATAGCTATTATAACATGATTTTGTTGTCAAGCTTTTGAATCTTTCTATACTTCGTTTTTTGATTGGTTATTCTAGCTTTTGTAACAATGTTTCCCCCTAGTGT